GGGCTCCAGGAGGCCTGCTGTCTCCACCCTGGAGTGCCTCCACCCAGCCTCCCCTGGCACCCACACCGGCTGCCCTTCCACACATCCTTCCTCCCCAATCTAGTGACTAAGTCCTCCTGGATGTCCACCTGGCTCAACGGCTGCCATTGCACCCCCGATCTGCAGCAGCGTCCCCTCACCACTCCGAGTGCCATTAGGGGGTTCCCTGGTAAATTGCACCTTCTATGTGGGACACCCTGGTTCAGACAATCACCTGTCTGTCAGGGGAGGTTTGCTGTGGCTCTAATGCTGCACCGGAGCCCTGGTGGCCTCTGGTTAGCCACTGGACTGCTCACTGGAAAGACCAGCGGTTCAAACCCTCTAGTCCAGTGGTTCTCAACCTTCCTAACGCTGCGACACTTCAATACAGTTCCTCATGTTGTGGTGACTCCCCAACCATAACATTATTTTTGTCGCTACTTCATAACTAATTTTGCTATTATTATGAATTGGGCGACCCCTGGGAAAGGGTCATTTGACCCCCAAAGGGGTCACGACCCACAGGTTGAGAAACACTGCCCTAGTCACTCCTTGGGAGGAAGATGAAGCTGTCAGCCTCTGTTAAGATTCACAGTCTCAGCAAACCCCTATCTAGGGTCGCCAGAGGTCAGAGTCAATTTGATGGCAGTGGGTTTGGTGGTTTTATTGGGGGGTGGGTTAGGGGGGCTGGTTATGACGCTGAACACGGTTCAGCACTAGGAAGAAAGTGCTGGCAATCTATCGGAGGAACATCAGCCAATGGAAACCCTGTGGATCGCGCTGCTGTGGTTCCCAGCAGATCACAAGGATGGGACGGGACGGTGCAGGACCGGGCAGTGTTTTGTGCCGCGGTGTGAGGTCATCAGGACTCGGGGGCAGCTAATCAGCTAATCGCAGCAAGGAGAAGGGCGACAGCATTCAGATGGTGACATTCGGCTTGGGAGAGACGACGAAAGAGGACAATCCGGGTGGACTTCACTGCCTTCATGGAGACCCGGAGCTGAAAGAGGACGGGACCTGCCCAGGCTCACGAAAGCCCTCGTGTGGATATGGGCAGCGTGGGGGCCGGTGGGTCCCGAGTCCAGTCCTGGCGGGGCAGTGGCCCCAGCTCGGTGAGTTGCAGCCC